TTCGATAATAAATTTTTATTCTACTTTATTTACACATAATTTACGGAATGAACAAAGTTAGCTTTTTTCGAATTTAATTTAAATGATCGTTAATTTTTATGAGAAAGATACATTAACAGGGTTATTTTATGCAATTTGGAAATAATTGGCATTTTCCCGGATTTTTGGTTAATAGCGAAAGGATATTGTATTTTTCGCGATTTAAATAAAATTAACTTCCTCTCGCGCGGCGCATATCGCGCAATTTTCGCTTTATATCCAAAAATGGTGTATAATGTAATTTAGAATAATAATTGAATTTTCATATAATGCTGGCACACAAAGAGGATAATCTGATAAGTGTAGAATGAGATAAAAATCTCGATAAATCAATATATCTAAAGTTATATGTGGCGTTTTTCGCGAGGTAGATAAAAACTGTATTGCGAGAACCTTCTGGTTTTGAAATTGAGGCGCAATCATGGAATTTGATCGCGCGTAAAAATGTTATCGGTAATAAGAAGCAAACAATGCGACCGTAATAATGTGTATGGTATTACGCGATACATTTATTTACGTCGTTAAATATGTTTTTCATTAAAATTCGAGGGAATGGATGATTTTTAGCCAATTAGAGCCGCGCAAAATGTCCCGTGTTTCGCGTGTAAAACATTTATATTCCATAAATTTTAATATCATATAATATCAATGAATATTGTCTGGCCGTAAATTTTAACGGGCAACTCATACAACGCCCGGCGTTTCTCGTTACGCTCTCGGAGTGAATTGATTGTAATTATTACGCGAGGCAGCGAATGCAAAACACCGCTTTGTTTCGTACACACTACCTGCTTATACTCTCTTCCCTGGTGGTGATTCCCACTATTCATATTTTCCTCTATTATATTAGGCAATGCCTGGCATCACCATCGCGGATTTGGTTTATTGATATTACTACTAAACAATGCAAAATTTACCAAATAAAGTGCGTATGTATTTACCGGAAAGCTTTACATAATGCGGAGCTTTTCTAACGGTTTGTTATTATTTTACATTATTTTGCATTATTTTACATACTTTGTATATTGAACAATAAGCTTCAAAAATATGAAAATACGTTTATTATTATTATGTCGAATGGTTCCATCTTAAATCGGCCACGATATTTCATTTAATATTATTATAAATATTTCCTATATTTATTGTGTATTATTATCAATTTTATTAAATTAAAAAATATTTTAATACTAACATATTTTTTTATTAGAGTACTGGTTATATAGATAATTCGACAGAAATATATAAATTTGCCGTACATGATAATATTCGATACGTATATGAAACATAGGTATCACATTAACGACGCTCGAATAAAATTGCAGCTCTATTAAAAATATATATGCAAGATAATAAAAAAAAAATAAATAAATATACGCGCAATTTGTATAACGAAAAGAGAAATACAGATGAGAGACGTACAAAAATATATATATATATATATATCTGCGTGAGAAAATGTTATTAATATCGATAAATCGTCACTCGAGCGTGGCGTACAGGTACAAGGTAAATCTAAAAAAAGATTTTTAACAATCGCGCAAGCAACTGCGAGGAACGCGCGACACGTAACGAAACGGATACGTCGCTGCGAAACGAGCATAATATCGGTCTCCGTTATCGTCGGATGCACTTTGGGCTCGCAATTCGGTGCCCCTTTCCCCTTTCCCTTCCCTCGCCCTCCCTCTCCGTGCTCACTACAAAGAGTTCGTTTACCCCGTTTATACGTGCGCGCGAGGCCGGTCGCTATCGGTCGATTCAGGCACGACATTCGACGAGTGTCGAGAAACGAGAGCGACGTGATAAAGATGAATTTAAGACGCGTTCGGGGACTTCCTCGAACAAACAAACACTGCACAACTGCGTCTAGACGTTCGGCGCAAAATGTATCCAACCGTGTGTTTTATATGCAGCGCGTTGCATCTGTCGCAGATGCGAAGGAAAAAGAAGCGCGTTGATGTGATCGTCAATAAGATTGCGAGAATCCGCTTAGCGCATTAATTGTGTGTTACGTATATGTATTTAATATATCCTCGGGCCGAGATGTGAAAAATATTTTTAACTTTTCAATTGTGTGTATTAACATGTATAAATCCCTCGAGAACTCGAGAATCCACAAGTCGATAAATTTTCTCTTTGATATGCTCTTATAAAGAAAAATATGCAAATATAATTTAGACAATTTATAAATACGACTATTTTAACGTCTCGTGTAGAAATTTTGCTCCTATTTTGATGATTGATATATAGAAATCCAACTTCTCTTCTTTGAAAAAAAAAAACAATAATAAAATAAATAGTAAATAGACACTTTGCCACTCAGAATAGTAGACAATATTTTTTATCAATTTCCAATAGATTGAAAATTGATGTTGAAGGTAGAAGAAAACAATTTGATTAAAGATTTAGGAAGTTTAAGATGTCTCACGTGTGTGGCGAGTATAACTTTGAAGAAAAGAAAATATATGATTCATCCCGAAAATGTTATCGCGATTTTTACGATCGGACGAGGATATCGGCGCGATAACCCTCATCATTGCAGCGGAATTTCGTAACATCTTTCGCAATCCATCGGCTTTCGGATATTTGTCTCGAGTCGCTTCCCAGCTTTTCGTATCTGTCGTGTCCGCACGGTCGAAATGTCATTGCCACGAATTCACCGTCAAATATATCGAGAAAAAACGAAAATCTATTTTTGGACAAGCGCGACGAGAACGAGATTGAAATGCCCGTGATCGCGAAATGTCGAGGAGGAAAGGAGGAAGACGAACGCACGTACACACATTGGATCGCATCTGGCGCGGGGATACATCGTTGAAAAAGCAGTTCCTCGTTTTCAGTTATTTGCGAGGAAATCAGGTACCGCAGATAAGTGCGTATACACGCCGCAATCAAATTCCACGACATTGATTTATTGCCAGCAATGTTGACTTTAGAAGCGAACGGTCTCTCGAAATGTCAAAACTATGCAGATAATTGAAGCGTGGCGAAGTCACATATTAAATTGAAAACTTTTTTTTTCTGTCGTTGCATCTTTATATAATCGACGCTCCATTATTTAATGATTACCTTCGTTCGTTCCTGAAATCTTGAACCGCTATTCCTGAGATCTGCTCTTAATGTTGCTTCTTCCGTTGATCGCCCTTTTGCGTGACGGTGAGCAACGGCAATAAAGTTCGAGCTTTCTTTTTATATGTCATGTTAAATTAACGAGTCCGTGCGACGTAATGATAAACTGTATTCGTTTAAGGTGCTCGTATGAAAAATAAGAGTGAAAATATTCGTGACGTACCGATTCGATTTTACCATAAGTGTTGAATGTTGGAGCAATTTTAAAAGTGATTTTTTAAAAGGAAAAAATTGATACGTTTTTACAGAGAACGAATATTACAAATCCTCGTTGAAAAATATTTTTTTGAAATAGAATATGAAATAATCGCGCGTGAATAGAAAATAATTGCAAATATTTTCCGCAAAGAAATGCAAACCAAATGTTTGACGCAAATCTGTTAATTAAATGGATATATTAATATCAATACACTATTTGTTGAAGCTAATATTAAATTCAAATTTTTCGGCGTTCAATTCGAAGGCCTGAAAAATATGTACCTTACGATATGCGCCGCGTGAGTTTCGTAGTTAATTTTTCGACATGCGAGAAAATTCTTTTAATACTCTATTTCAGACTGCTCCTTCTACAACGTAACAAGATAAGATTGCACAAGCTAAGCGCAAATGTATTTTTTATCTTTATATAAATCTACCTATATATTTTTGTATGAAGAGTCATATCAAACTCTTTAATCATTTAATTGTATATGTCACGCGATCGATCGCGAGATGCAAAAAAAGACGCAGTGGATCAGACGGTTTTCGTTAAATTTGTTTTTCGGGTCATCCAGTCTCGCAGATTATAAAATAGTTGTTTTCGCGGTCATTTTCGACGGATTCGGATCTTGTCTCGGCCTCGTTTCCGTCAGTCGAGAAACTGCGAAAGAGCATTATTTCAGCGCACACAGATTTTATCTCGCGTGCGCGAGGCAGAATTCAGGATCTGCACCTGGCAGCGCTGGCGGGCGGATCGACGTCGTCGACGCGCGTTTCGAGTGACGTTATCATCGCCACCGAAATAGCGTGTTGATAAGGTCGTCTCTCCCGGACGCGCGGCCAACGACGTCGCGTCTGCTCCCAATAGAATTCCATTAATCTGGCTTACGACGATCAGTATGCAATGTTGGTGGCGTCGCGTCGTATCGACAATTTAACCCAAGGATGGATAGGGCGTTCTCCTTGTTTAATGAGCGACGCCCCGGTAAGGGAACCCGAAGGGAGAGCAGACAAAGAGCAGAGGCACGTATTTTTGCGCGTGTCTTCGGAGGCGTCTCGTCAGAGGCAAACGTCAATTGCATTATTTAATGCGAAAATATCAGGGCGCAAAAAAGAGCGCTTTTAATCGTTGAGTTTTTTTTTCAGCCACACATGCGTAAAGCACGTGTTTACAAGACACTTGTATATGTAACACGTACATATAACGTTTGGGCTTAATTCATACAAGTAATCAATAATCTCGCAATTAAGTGAAATTCACGTCTTGAATATAAATTGTTATTGGTTCGATTTACCCGCGAAATCTTCAATATTTTGTTATTATTATAGCAGAAGCTTTTATTATTAGAGTGCCATATATATATATATATGTATAGGTCTTTTTATAAATTTCGTCTTTTTATAAAAAGCCTAGGTTTTTTATAAATGTCCTTCTATAAAAATTCAATGTTTTCGAATTAAGGTCAGATCTTTTTTTTCACATGAAATGAGTGAATTTATAAATATTGCAACATATATGTTTCGCTATCTCATCGACTTGATGAGTAACCGATTCCATTTCACTCTACTCCGAGAATTCCCGAGTTAAGTCTATTGCACGCGATGAAATAGTGTACAATATCGTATCGGGGACATACCTCATCGATGATGTTACAGCAATTTTGGCGTGTGATGATAAAGTGGCTGGTATCTTCAATAATTGCAGGGAAAAGAAATGGAGATAGGAATTACATCGTTGTTTGCTATTGCAGTCTCAGTCCTTCGACGAACCGCTGCATCAGACACAGATAATTAAGTTTACCTGGAAAAATACAATCATTTGATGAATCGCAATCATTGCTGTGACGGGAACATAGCGTCGATAAACTGCCGAAAGAAAAAGGAAACATAAGTGAAGCAAACGTGGAAGAGCGAAGAACTATATATTTGTACCGTTTGAATTTTTCAGGAAAAGTCAATTCGAAGGATAAATATTGTATTTCTCGAGTAAAAACTTTGAATAATTCATAGAGAACAGAAAATAATTTATTAAATATCAAATAAAGACACTGTAAGAAATTTAAAAAAAAGATGCCAAGTTTTATAATTTACTTAATCTTTAAAAAATTTTAAATCTTAATGAAATATCGTTAAATATTCAATAATCGGTATTTCTCAAGTATTGTATAATACTAATACTAATTATTCTATAATATTAATTATGCACACATTAAAAACTTGTTACAGCGTGTGTCCTGAAAACATTTATTCCAGAATATATAGATATATGTATATAATATATACATATATATAAAATTGTATAATCCAAATTAATGAAATTATATAATCTAATGTAACAGAGTATATTTATATGAGATCTCTAATTTTATTTTAATATGAGTATTCTCTATTGCGCTATATTGTTATATAAAGAATATTAAAATTATTTTAATTATGCAGTAAAAGTTTTGCTTCGCTTAAAACAATTGTATGTAATATATAATGACTTGTTCACACATATATTTAAAAACACTGCCTTTCCAGAAAAATATCCTTGGCACTCATGCAAAGGTGCAAATTCCGGTATATTTAAGAAAAAACATTATAGATTGAACGAAGCAAGTATGCAAAAAAGGCATACAAATTACATCTCGGATGATAATTTTCTTATCGAAGAAGGATAAATATACGCGATGGACAAAGAACAAGAACATATTAGCGAGACTAATCCACGATATGAATAATTATATACTAGTTTCGTAGCAGGTTTCGCGATGTTGAAATTGCGACTCGTCGACTCGCCGTGATCGATATTGACATGAACAAGTCTTTCGTATCCTGCGAGATCACAAGATTTCGTATCGTCATTTACTAATTATATCGCTTATTACAGTAAGATTGTACGCATCGACAGCACGACGAGTTAAATCAATAAGAACATTAAGCTACAAAGTGAATCAAATGGATTGATTTATGAATTTTTATAGCTTTATAAAAATATAGATGTTTTTTTAATAATTAAGCCTTCGACGTTACCATTTTTGTATAATCCTTTACAAAGTTTATTTTTGAAAAATAGTATTTATCATTATTTATAATGATATTTATTATTTTTTAAAAATAAACGTTGTATAAAGAATTATCGAATCAACAAATTTTGAATGAAAAATAATATTCATCATTATTTATAAATTCGTAAACATATTCATAAAACAAAACAATACACATATATGTATTCTACGGAAATGAATTTAATAATTTGTATTCTCGTTGCGCCAAACAATAATTTTCATTTAATTATGACTCGAAAATTAATCGAGATTTCAAAAACATTATTCGTTTTCTTATCTCTGTGTATATCTTTTAATATCTTTTTAAATAGTGTCGAAATAATTTATTTGTTGCATTATGTAATAATGATAATTTTGAGCCATTACATTTACAATTAATGTACAATTAGCATCCTAAAATGTATACATATATGAACATCGCGTTCCATATATTTCATGTTTCAATTTGTCGTATTTCTTTTATTAAAATAATTTCCTCACGCGTCATGTACCATTTATAACATGAATCCCAAAATTAAACGAGAAATAACAAAAAGGATATAAACATAACATGTCATTTAATCTATGAAATTATATAGGTTATATAGGCAATCATTCAAAAAACGTTATGATCTTTTTCAGATTTCAACGACAAAATTGATACGAAATTTATATTCAACGAATAAAATTACACAGAATTATTTACCGCTAAAATCCATTTAAACTGTCAAAATATGTTAAAAGTATATTAAACGAATAAAAAATACACCGTAAAATCTCATCGAAAAATACGATTATTCGCGGAGTGAACATATCCTAACCCCACAATATATATCGCGAAAGAGGAACTAGGTGAAAATATATTTCACACACTCGAGACTATACATTATACGTATGTATCTTTTTGAAGAGTGGGTTTCTGCTAGGTCGTGGCGCAGAAAACTGTTCGCTTTTTGCACGTGTTTGTATCCGTACGCCGACTTTTCTATCTGTGTGAAGTTAGCCCCGCACTTTTTGAATTTAAAATTTTTCAAAATTGTGCTGAATTGTGCTCCGTTTGTGCTGTATTGTGCCGCAAACGGCAACTCTCTAACTCAAAGCATACCCTAAAAAAAAATTAAATTTTTTTGCTAGCCCCGCACTTTTCGAATTAAAAAAAATTTTTTCTAGGATATGCTTTGAGTTAGAAAGTTGCCGTTTGCGGCACAATACAGCACGAACGGAGCACAGTTCAACGCAATTTTGAAAAATTTTAAATTTGAAAAGTGCGGGGCTAGCAAAAAAAAATTTTTTTTTAAGGGTATGCTTTGAGTTAGAGAGTTGCCGTTTGCGGCACAATACAGCACAAACGGAGCACAATTCAGCACAATTTTGAAAAATTTTAAATTTGAAAAGTGCAGAGCTAACTTCACACACATGACTTTTCTTGGAAAAGACTCGCGCTCGCACCGTAAGTCTCGCACCTAGACTCGAGTCGAGAGAGCTCGGCCGTGCCTCTCCCGCTATCTTCCTAAATTTTCTGTAATCGTCTCATTGTCAGTCGCGGCGGCGTAAGCACGAGGACAAAGTCGAATCGCGCTTTCGTCCGTGCTCGGAGCGTCTTTTCGATCGATCGGGATCGTATTTCGGCGTGCGAACGAGTGCCGGGAGTGCCGGGGAATCGTTTAATCGTCTCGGTGCACGTCTCTTATTGTTAGTTCGTTCGATCGCGATTCTATCCGTTTTTCGACATTCGCAGACGGTCGTTAAATTCTTCCTGCAAATGGCGGATTTCAAAATTTCGATTACGCGGGTCGCGAGTCGCGAGTGAAATCAGGGAAATATAACCTGTTTTAAGTGATTGGTAAATTTGTGAAGTGCATTGGTGCATCTGTGCTCGCATGTGGATATATGTACAACGAGAGGATACTCCAACTTTCGTTTTTAAAGGAGAGAGAGGGATATACGACGACAGCGCCGGTGAGTCGTGTATGTAATCACATATACATTTGTAATTGTCGTTGCTATATTTATGCACGTCTGAATTTGCGGAAATAATTAATGATGGTGAAAAATGCTGGTCTGCTGTCTGGTTAACGATTCTCCCTCATTCTGCAGTTAATTAGCCTGTAGTTTTCGTTAATATATATCGTGGCTAGGAGAGATAGCGATATATCTCTATATGTTAATGTATTAGTATCGTATTTCGTGTTGTTTGTATTTTGTCGCGTTTTTTATATTCCTCCCTTAAGACTCCTTTCGTATATTATATTAGGAAAAATCAATATTTATCTCATTGATATATCTTCTCCTATCCCCTTTAATGTACACTTTACTACGACAATACTTACAATTAATTTATTTCAACATTTATATTTATGTGAGAAAGAGAAGGTTTATTGCAAATATATATAATGTTTATTCCATATTTATAAAATATTTTTTCTTCGTTTGTTTCGAAGAATTTTAATTTATGTTAGAAAATGTGGCGTCATGTTTTCTAAGAAAAATAGAATATAATTGATAAATTCATGTTGCGGCCTTAGTACTTTTTTTAAAGTTCTTTTCGCATACAGATTATAAAGAGTCAACAATTATTAAATGTATCCTGCTTATCGTTCATTAATATACATACACATACTTTATTATGACAATGATACTTATTAATATGTTTTGATCTGATGTGAGAAAGAAAAACTTGTTGCAAAAATATAATAAATATGTTTATAAAATATTATTTTTGCGCGAAATTTTTTTGTTTCGAAGAATTTTTATGTTAGAAAATGTAGTGTGATATTTTCTAAGAAAAATAGAATATAATTATATAGTTTATGTCGCGTGCGCACTTTTTTTATACTTTTCGCACAGATTATAAAAATCAATAATTATCATTAATTATATTTATTTGTCTATCTAGTTCGTTAATATACATACACTTTATACTGCATGATAATGATACTTTTGATCTGTGTGAGAGAGAGAAGCTTGTTGCAAAAACATAATAATTATAATGTTTATTCCGCGTTTATAAAATATTATTTTTGCGCGAAATTTTTTTTTGTTTCGAAGAATTTTTAATTTACGTTAGAAAATGGTGTGATATTTTCTAAAAAAAATCGAATATAACATACAGTTTATATCGCGTACGCATTTTTTACATTCTTTTTGCACACACATTATAAAAGAATTGATAATTATCATTAATATATCTCTATCTATCATTCTTTAATATATACTTTAACTTTTTAATATATATTGCGACAGTAATAGGTACTTGATATACTTTGATTTTATGTGAGAAAAAGGAGTTTGTTGCAAAAATATAACTGTTATGTTTATCCCGCGTTTATAAAATATTTTTGCGCGAAAATTTTTTCTCATTTAGAAGAATGTTTAATATATTTACCTTAAAAATTGTGGTGTGATATTTTCTAAGAAAAATCAAATATACTTAAATATAGTTTATCTCGCGTACGTATTTTTTCATAAACTTTTCACACAGATTAAAAAAATTCAATAATTATCATTAATATATCTCTGTCTCTACCGTTCTTTAATATACACTTTACTTCGACAATGATACTTGATATACTTTAATCTCATGCGAGAAAGAGAAGCTTGTTACAACACTATGTTTATTTATATCGTTTAACTAATAATGTTTATCCCGCATTTGTAAAATATTATTTTTGCGCGAAAATTGTTTCTTTGTTTCGAATAATTTTAATTTACGTCAGAAAATGTAACATATTTTTCAAGAAAAATCGAATACATTTGATATA